ACGAATATTGGCGTATGCGGTAAGCATTGTTCAGTTGTACCAGCTCATACAAACCAGACAATAATCAAAGCCAAAGGTACAAATAAGTTATTGCTATACAATTGACTCGGTTAAATAAGTTAATCAAAAGGCTTAACCAAAATTAATACTAACAAACTCAAATGTATGTGGAGGTAGTACATACTCTCCCACTTAAATCAATCAATCAAATGAGAATTTCGTTTCTTCGCGTCAATGGACTACGACAACTTGAATTAATGCATATACGTACCAAGTTCTACATTGTGACTGACTGACTCTGATCAATCAGTAGCATTATGATCTAGTTGCTAGTGATACGTGGCCAGTCAGAGTAGATTTTCGTATGTTACTGGTTTTCGATCATAGGTGTCTCCGAAGCATTGCTCGAGTTTTGTGGGGCAGCCGTGTAGCAATGCTGTTGTTAAGAAACGAGTACTAGGTAAGGATAGCAGGTCAATAGATGAAGCATTGAAACTTCGTCAGTCGATGTGGTTGGGATATCATTTACTTGTGCCTAACCCCCGACTGCCTCGTCCAGCTGTTTCAGTCAGTCAGTCAGATGCAACGTAGAACTTGGTACGTACGTACATCAGTTCATGTTGCCATACCACATCAGCACAGAGATATAATTGTCAATTCAAATCCAATAGTAGTAGAGGTAGTAAAGGAATTAGAAGTAATCAGAGAGGTTAGGGTTAGAAGATACTATTCAAGAAGTATGATTCAGTGAGAAAAGTTTAGAGAGTCGAAACTAGAGGTGTTGAAGAAGCCAGAAGATTAGGGTTTGAGAGAACACAAAGAATAAATGCACCGTCGCCAATGCGAACGATTTTGAGCCATGTCATTCAAGGTCTCTAACCATCGATTATTATCATCTCGCGGACCCCAACCAGGTAGTCGAAAATTACCGACATGGCTCAGTCCACTCGTGAATGACTTCATGGATTTCTGCCATGTTTTGGTTTGGCCGCCCCTAACTTTCTTCCAACCTACTCCTACACTACAAAACAAAGCTCGTCGAGGCAGTCGGTAGCTAGCCATACGTAACACATGTCCCAAACAACTCAACTGATGAAGTTTCACCACTTCATCGATTGATCTGCCATCCTTGCCTAGTACTCGTTTCCTAACGACAGCATTGCTTACTCGGTTGTCCCACGGTATACAAGCAATGCTTCGAAGACACCTATGATCGAAAACCAGTAACCTACGAATATCTTCTACTCTCACCGGCCATGTTTCACAGCCATATAGGAGAACGGAGCGAACTGCTGCACAGTACACTCGTCCTTTGATTAGAGAACGGATATCTCGCCTGCTCCATAGGTGACGGAAGTTGCCAAAAGCCAATCGAGCCTTCTGTATCCGAGCTGAGATTTCGTCACACACCAGGCCATCGGTACTGATGAGACTCCCAAAATAAGTGAAGCGGTCTACACGTTCGACCACTTCACTCCCTATCACTAGTTCAGGTGCCGATGAAACCCAATCTTGAAGCAACATTTTGCATTTCGAGGGGGAAAACCGCATCCCGAACATGCTTGCATTGTTGCTTAGGGTAGTCAGAAGACTCTGCATTTTGTCAGCATCTTCACCAAGTAGGACAATGTCATCGACATATTCTAAGTCAATAAGCGAGCCACCTGGTAGAAGGTCTACTCCAGAAAATTCAGACGAGGATAAGGTTATTTCTAGGAGCATGTCTATGATAAAATTAAACAAGAATGGAGAAAGTGGACATCCCTGACGGACACCACTTGATGTAGAGAATTCCGGTGACAGTTCGCCATAAGCTCTCACTGGACCAGTGGTGTTCGAGTAAAGGGCTTGTATAAGGTTAATGTACTTCTTCGGTATACCTTTCAATGACAGACACCGCCACAGAATCTCACGATCTACAGAGTCAAATGCCGTGTTAAGGTCCAGGAAAACAACTATTGTAGGACGCCTAAATGTGTGTCTATGTTCCAGGACCTGTCGTAGTGTGAAGATGTGGTCTATACAACCACGTCCAGGTCGAAAACCAGACTGGTTTTCTCGAGTCTGCTGTTCACGAGCTTTCGTTAAGCGTCGAAGTATTATTGAGGCCAATATTTTAGATATGATATTAGTTAGACTGATTCCCCTGTGATTGTCACAAGATGACTTTTGTCCTTTCTTATAGATTGGGACAATCAGTGATTGAGACCAGTCGGATGGGATTGTGTCCAGTTCCCAGATTCTACCTAAGATCTCAGTCAATCTAGCTGGTAAAACTGAACCACCATACTTAAATGTCTCAGGGGTCAGTCTATCAGGACCTGCAGCTCGTCCTCGTTTCAGATTTCCTAACGCTTTCTCAACGTCATTAAGACTAGGGGGACTTACGTCGATTTGCCATTCAGGATGACTGGAGATCGTGGGTAACCGAAGAGTGGCTCGTGGCCAGTTGAACTAATTCCTAAAGTGTTCTGCCCATCGATCCAGTCTCCTGGATTGAGAATGGATAATAAGACCATCCTTTTCCGAGATAGTCTCACTCACATTCGGGTTCTTAATACCAGTTTCTTTAATAAGGCGGAAAAGTTGTCTACTGTTGCCCATCGCCGCTGCCTTTTGCATTGCTTTTGCTTTCGCCACTCACCACTGTTTGCGGTCGTTACGTAGACTTTTTATAAGTCTGCGCCTAAGCTGATTACGCTCTTCATCATGCTCAGAGTCAGGTGGGATGCGTTTTCGAGCATCCATCAGTTCGGTCGATGCGACTGATATCCACGGCTTCATCCTAGCCTCATGGTTTACCTTACTAGCAGATATCACTGCTGTTTCCACAGCCTTTTTGATATCATACCAACCTGCTTCTGGATGGGAATCGCCTGCATGGTTGCTTAACTCTCTTTCTAGTTGCTCCTGAAATATTTTCTTGGTTTGATTATCATTAGGTAAAACCCAAAGAGGCTTTCTTACGGTGTCTTTCCTATGTCCAGTATTTGATTTTGACCAATTTGGTCTCGCGTGCTGTTACGGGTATGAGGGCGGTTATCACTTCCCGGCTGCCCACACCATGGAAGGTTGTTTCTTGAGGGACCTGAAAAGGAAGATGGATTAGTGTTGGTGCGTGACCGCAGAGTCCAAGGGACAACTGCTTGAGGCCGGTCACGCACGGCCTTTTTATGAAAGGTATTTAGAGGATTAGCTCCGTTCTTAAAAGCCCTTAGTGGGCACCCTTACTGCCGGAGACGGAAATCCGTGAGTTAGGGGAGGTGTGACATTTTTAGGGCCGACCTTTTCTAACCCTTCCTTCCCTGTGAAAAGGCAGCATCGCTGCAGATGCTGGTTGTCCGAGGGAAACACCTTACTGCTGTCACACCCCTCTGCAGTCAGCAGTACGACTTCGCCCTCAGACCTTGGGTAGCTGCTTTTAGTCTCATCGTTCTTCAATCGACCTGCCTGGCATGGTAGGACCTGCAAGAACATATGTTCCAGCCAGTATAGCTCGGTTGGGTCATGACGATAGGCAAGCCCAACCACCACGTCAAGGTAGCAGCTACGGTCGAGCTGTTTTGCGTTATAGGAATAGCTTGGATGAAAGCTAGGGGCGGCCAGACCAAAACCTGGCAGAAATAAATGAAGTCATTCACAAGTGGACTGAGCCATGTCGGTAGGTGTCAACTACCTGGTTGGGGCCCGCGAGATGATAATAATCGATGGTTAATGACCCTGAATGACAGGGCTCAAAACAGTTTGCAATGGCACAGGTGCAAGTATTTTCCGTGTTCTATGTAATTCTAACCTTCTGAATTCCTTGTCACCTGTCTTTCTGTTTCTATATTTACCTCACTGAATCATATTTCTTGAATAACATCTTCGAAACCCTAATGTCTCCGATTACTTCTAATACTTTTACCACCTCTAATACTATGGGATTTGAATTTACAATTATATCTCTGTGCTAATGTGGTATGGCAACTTGAAAAAATGTACTTATGTGCAAAGTTCCACGTTGCTGTTGACGGTGATGATGAAACACCAGCAGCCTAATACATGCTGCTTTTAAAGGACAAGTTTTACAGTCACAAAACGAAGTTGAATGAACTACTAATGAACGGTTTAGTCGGACATCTAAGTTCTCCAGGCATCAACTTACTACCACAACTAAAGACTTCGAAGTTAAGTGACCAACCCACTGCACCGAAACCCCTTTACTTCCCCTCACTGGCTCTGATCTAAACACAAATCAACAGTGGAGTAAAACCGTGCATTCAATAGAATCAATCCATATAAAGCTTGGGCTCTGGTTCGACCTAGAGTTTCGGTAACCTTCACAAAGTCAATGTACACTGTTGAAGCACTACCATACAATCTCCCAAACAACGGATTTGAACGCTACTATAAAGTCAAGAAATGCCAGTAGAGCTGGGCTGTTCTAAACCCTGACGAAAATTGAATATTTGGTTTATACATCTAGATCTGAACATCGAACCAGCCTTCTTTCTTTTCGTTTGCTCAATAGCTCAGTTAGACGTTCAAAGTCTACAGTGATCATGATTTCCGATACTATGTTTGTCAAACTCATTCCTAAGTGGAATTTATGAGTGGAGTTCAGTCACTTCAAGAAATTTTCTCGGATTTAACTGCTCAAACAGTACCAATAGCTTGGGCGATGCACAAATTCGACAACAACTAGTAGTATTTTTTCACCAAGGGACTTGTGACTAATCTCATCATTCTTAAAATGAATTTAATTCTACGAATTGCGACATTCGCAGTAAGCGTTTGGCTTTCCATGTTCCGTAGCAATTACGATATGCTGCTCACTAAGTGTTTGGTTCCTTATATTGTTTCATCACAGATACAATGCTCATTTAACGCCCTAATAAACTTTCACCAATTTGGATAGAACTGTGAGTTGTTCCATTAAGAAACACAAATATAGCAGTTGAGAAATAAGCACAACACAAACCGAAGGTAAAACTATGTACAAAAACTAATATACTCACAGAGAAGGCACCTCTACATTGCTAACCGGCATGCTTAAAACACTACAACGCCAACCTTCGAAATAACCGCCAGTGTGCAACTTATTCAAATGGCTGTGGACAGAATTACAAAGCCTATAGCCTAAGGAGATTTCAGGTCTGGTAGAGGTAGAGCATCGATACCTCCGAGCTTGGACTTAGTTAGATGAAACAGTCAGAAAGGAACTGTCAAAAAATTAGAATGATGTGCTAACATAAGCACTTATGAATATATCAAGTGTCCTTCTAAAGAACTGGGGAAGTTGCTGGAGTCACACCAGTCGGTAGTAAACTTCAAGACCCAAATAAATAAGGAGAAAGAGGTGCACTCTCAGTCAAATTCTCTCTGCATTCGAGCAAAATTCTTCTGAGCTGTTAGCTTATCATCCTATTGGCTCTCTCCAAAGCTTTAGATCGTCAGCATAACATGATCTCTTAAGGTATAGTTAGAGAGATAGATCACGGAATTCGAGTACTGAGGACGATTTATGACGGCCTGCTAGAAAGCACTGAACACCTACAGGCATATGATCGACCTGATTAAAAGCTTTAGAAAAATCGGACTGTATTATGACTACATAATCTTCCCGATACAGAATAATCACCCATATATATCCACCGTAGTCAGCATGTTAGTAATACAGTTTTAGGCCCTTTAAAAACTGTTCTGTTGATGTGAAAATAGTTTGATGGATCTTTGTTAGTTGCTCAGGCCGTCTTAAGCTAGGGACTTCACAACTCCCAACAATAGGGAAAGAAGAGCTTCTACACGATAACTTAAGGGATTGTTGTATAGACCACCTCTGAGAATTGGATTGGTGTTGTTCAGCCTCCAGCTTACCTTAACCACAACCTAACTCAGCTACCATGAGAACAGCAGACCAATGAGTGTTTTCAAGCCTAAGGTTGCTGCTCTCGGCACAGTTGAATTAACCTTGTCCAGGTCAAGAGGATTATCGTTGCGATTATGCTGAAATGCCTGACCTACCGATTCTATGATTGCTCAGGATTGCCACCGAAATCTCTGTAGCGCCGCATTCGAAGCTCTCATCGGTGTACCTGACAGACGACCTTCGAAATTTTCAAAGCACTGTTTTGTGGCATTTCAGAGTAAAAGTATCATGTACTGACGAACTGGAGAAACCCACCAGCAAATTCTCAGCTATCAGATCATTGCTTGTAGTGGCAGGAAAGGGCTGAGTTCCTTTATAAAGAATCCAGGCTCATTTTTTGAGTTAGGGTTTTCGCCCTACGTTATTTTCATCGCCAACCGAGATCCCTTATAATGCATGATGGTCAGGGTCGGGATTTGGAAATTTAGGCCGAATTCTGAGTTTAGCTTTTCGTATCACGTTTAGCGTTTTGATCACGAGCTGAGATCAGCTATGATGCAATGCTTTTGTCATTCTACTATTTCGAGACTTAAGGACTGACAACTGAGGATCATAGTGAAATCCGGAAAGGAAAGGCAATACGTAGTTTCACTGAACACCACTGACAATGCAGTGAGTCACAAATCAGTCAGCCAGCCTAATTTATTGCCGGTACCTGTTTTCTGTTATGGTCCTCGCATAATGGTTTTGACTTCATTGAAATGCTCGTATAAACTGTTGTTGCTCATTTGTCCAAAATACTATAGGTAATTTCGATTCAGATTAATCCCGCGAAAAGTTCAGTTCTGCATGTTTTAACATTTCTTGGTAATTCCAGATATCATTGTGTGACGCATGCTTGAGACAGTTAAAATTGTGTGCATTTAAAATTTCTTAAAACTTGTAGAACTAACATAGTATATGCTTCCCAACCCAGCTACTGCCTATTCTTCCTATCTCCAAACTACCTATAAACTGATCCATAGCTTACACATTAGACCGTCAGTTAACTTAATTGCCGTGTGATACGCTACATAGACATTTAGTCCGACACACAGTAGTTAAAGTTGTCCTGTTTACTTGTAACATGGAGTTAGAAGAGAAAGTGCATTCCGACAAGTTGTACAAAAACTAGAGTGTAGACTAAAATATTAATGAAAGTCTGCGGGGCAGGATATTTTGTCTGCTTACGGCTCGTTACGATAAAGCTGGATGTAACTAATCAGTGATATTGATGTTATTTTTCCAAATCAACCAAGTCTACGACTCATGTTTGTTACATCGCTCTAGATTCACTTCATACCAATAAACCATTTTCAAGCATATCTTTACAATTATTTAGAAGAAGAGCTCACCAGTGACCGATATAACTCGCACCAACTGGTGTATTGTAATTCCAGAGTCTAAACATTATTCACAATTTTAAGCTCTCGTTCTTTTTGTGAATAATTTCATAGAGGAATGGACACGCCTAAACTCTGTGCGAAGTGTTCCTTAAGCCACTGCCACCGCCACTTCCCATTTATATTCTCCACTATCTAAATATTTACGCACTTCTCGTTGCGTACTTGTTATAATGTTTCGTGATAAATATTTTAAGTCTATTTATCCATGTTTGGTCTACTGACAGAAATTTTTCTTATAGTATTTTACCATTCTTACTATGATCAGTACATCTGTGTTCCTACTATCAACTTGTAATTAACCTGTTGTTTATATCATTGTGATTATCGTCTCAAAATGATTTGATTGGTTCAATATTTGCTTATAAATATTCGTGTATATTAGAGTGAAGCTCGATGACGATCTGATCGAAAACAACAGAGTTCACATTCATATGTTGTCCCTAAAACAATAAGGTGGTGTGAGTAATTCACATGATACTGTTATACTTTAATGTGTAAGTGAGTCACTAGTTCTAAACTCAGTATCCGGATTATGCAGTGCACCAGCCACTCATATTATTGCTAATCGCTTGTAATTAGAAATCAAATCGAATATAATGTGTGATTATTAGCCTACAGAATCAATGCAGTTAATAAGTCGACGAATAGTGGAGTTTCTCAAATCAGTACTACCCATATATTCCCTTCGTAGGTGGTGTGGTTTACCAGATTTCCAGCTACACAGTGCGCAGCCTATGTGATTACCACGCAGAGCACAGGTTTTAGGCAGAGTATAGCTCCCAGCCCATACTTTGATGATGACACTAATTTTTACTCAGATTCTTTTTCGGGTTTGAGATGGTGCAACGGTCATGTTTTGGCTTGCTAGGCGGTTCGTTTGACAGCATTTGGTCGCCAGGTCAAATATTTAAAAATGGCAAGTGATGCATGACCTGACGTTAATAATAATAATAATAATTTATTCTCAAATAACCTGTTAACAGAGGCATGCAAATATACAGGCAAGATCAAAATGTTAAGATGGCAAGGTAGAGCCATGTCTGCATTTACCAAGAATTGATGAAGTGAATTTTCTAAGATCTGGTTGATATTCTTCAGATAGTAAATTAACGGGCCCCTGGGTAAATCATTCAACTCTGCTGCAAATATCCAGACTAATACTTAGGGATTGGAACAAGATGCTGACAAATAGAAATTAAGAGAACGGGGCGAAGATCAGAACAGGAAATATTCATGTTTAAAGCCGAACAATGACCCACAGGACACTTTTTAAAATTACGATTATTGCTACACGTTGTTATGATATTTCTACCCGATGTTTGAAGAAATAACCAGATTGATATTTATAGATACCTATTTATCAGTATTCACTTTGTCTCTGGAGGATGATGTAGCTGATATTAAATCAAAAGAAAATGAAGCGAATCCTTCACACGGAAATCAGCTTTTTGGTTATGAAGGACCTACTGAAAAGAGTTGAATTCCTCTGATTCTAAACAAATAGTGCTTATGGGCTGCCATACCCTGATGAAGCTGATGAAGTATGAAAAGATCGTAGGTCATCGACTACCATTTGAAGGCATTTCATGACGTTGCTACACCACCTTGTGGATGCGAACAGTAGGTCGAAAGTTCATGATGAAGTCCTCTGATAGTATGATGTGCTTCAATTTGAGCACTGCGGTAGTATCTCAGCTCAAGAAATTTATTGGTTGATTTGTCACATATATACATATATATAGTCTGACGTACCAATGTTTAGGCGTGTACGTAAATATGTAGAGGATTACCATGGAGTGTGAGAACAAGTGGTTGGAAGAAAAGTTATCCCAGTCAGAACAACCTATGATTTTCGTCAATAACTCACAGCTTGAAAATTTAAAATACTGTTACGTTGCTTCAGTAGAATATTCCTTAAACTTTGTGTACGATGTGTAGATTAACAAGGAGCAATGCCTAATCCTCTCATCGTTAGCAGGTGACACTGCCAACAATTGTTAACCTGTGCATGTATGTAAATTCAGCTCTGATTTATTCTCAAAGCGCGGACAACCAATACACTCGTAGTTGCCGCCCAAATAACGAAAGCACTGAATTTCGCTCCAGGTTGTTTAATGTTTAATTGCAAGCTACAGGCAATAAATCAAATTCGTCATTCTAGCCACAATTCTAACAACAATTACAGCCAATCTTCAAATTTAGGTCAGAAGGGAAAATTTCCAAAATACAAAACCGAAAGATCTCAACAGAAAATGACTTTGTTCAAATTTATAAGAAAGCCTATCAAAAATCTGAGTAGGACTATTGATCCGAAACCCAACAAATGAATGAAATTCACGACAACAGTTTACAGGTAAATGATTCAGTGTCCTCTTGTCACAATGCATGATAAAAGTCATAGATGGCAGCACCATAAAGTAAGATCTGAAGTCACATTCTCTGTGCTTTATGCTACACGAGTAAAGGTTAGAATGTTCGTGGTAGAAATATTCTGTTTAGCCATAAATGATTAATCACCTTGTTTCGTTTCGGGAGAATGTGAATATCAAAGCTAAGCGATCAAAAATGATAGATTACGAAAAAAGTGACGTACCTGATAAAATTTCAGAATGTACTGCTATAACAAAGAGTGACAGTGTCTACACATTTTTCGTTGATACACTTAAGAACTGGCATGTTCTGTACAAATGTCAGTCAAAAACAAATAGGGTGCACCCTCAATATCTGTCCGATACCCATAAGGCTAATTTAATCTGACGAATGAAGAAGCAGTCGATTGAATAATCATCATAATTTAACCACAAATAACAATATACCACATATGGCATGCACCTCTACTATCAAGATCTAGGTCAAAACTTGTTTCAAGCGCTTTAGAATCGACACTTCCAAACAAGTTCACTTCAGATCGATGCAAACCATCCAAGATCCCTACTCTGCACCTTCTGAATTTGTACTCACTTATTGAAAATGTGGCTATCAAAATGTTCCTGTGAGTGAAACGGTGCAAACTTACACTTAAAATGCTAGGGTGTGATCAGCATGCAGACCCATTACTCCTAGCAACTTTGACCATGGTGTGAATATACTTTGTTTGCTTCTTGGCTACAAACTTGTTTCTCCATAAATAATGCCAATTTTTTTCAAAAATTCCTTTGATATCCTTTGAGTCATTTTTCTGAACTGATTTTTGTTTTCTATTAATGGTGTTAGTTTATATTTTGGAAATAGGTTAGTTCTTTCCAAAAAGCCCACTTATTTTGCTGATGATAATGCCAAGAATTTTTGCTTGAAACACAAGTGACTAAGGTAAACATTCAGCTGTTCTCATTTAATCTTACATCGACTGACACTACATTTAAAACTTCATGGGACATCAATAACAGTCATATCGCAGTATTTACTGTGTGCTTTTGTCAGACCTAGTATCTCCTCGTGAACGTCCAGAGTACAATGTCAAAGCTCTTAACTTCGTATCATGTAAGTGTTCTCAAATATCTGTCCTCAGGAGATTTTACTTCGGAGATTCTGCACGTGGTCTTCATAACAACTAAATAAATGCATCTTTGACCTTTCAACTCTGTGAAGCTTTTCACACTGAAAAGAAAACTGAATCTCAAAGAGAAGACATCGTTTGTTTATGAAACAAAAAAATGATGGCTGGTAATGGCCCTTGTTAGACTGAAACGGGTTATTGTAATAAAATATAGACGGGATAAAACAGAGCGATTGAAACTACGTCATCTAGCAAATTTGGATGGAGTTTTACAGAAGCTCCATATATAGGCGGAATACACTTTGATATGGGAACATTTCGGTTCTTAACAATTTAGGAAACTAAATTTAACCAATTTTTCACTTGCACAATTCACGAGGTCACAATTTTCGGGAAATTTTATTGAACAGCGATGCTGATGCGTTTGACAAAAATGTTGGGGAGGCTGTTTTCGGAGTCGTATATTTTATTTAGTCATTTCATGTGTTATTCATACTTTACGGATGTTCGTTGAAGATTCTTATAAATGCTCGGAATTGTTGTATCAAAAGATCAGTCGATTTAGGTGAGCTGATGATTTGTTGTGCATTACTACCATCTGCACGGATATGAGGGATATACATGACCATTGAAGGACTTTTTATCTGTGACGAATTGAGTTAAAAGTTAAATGTTTCATGTTTTCCTTGTTCTAATATTTAACCAAACGGTTGTTCAGGATATCTAATTTATCGGTTTAGTTAGAGGTTAATAAACTTTGAATCCAAATGTTCCAAGGACTGTGGGCTTTAGTGCTGCAAATTGTTTTGGAACGAATCACTGTAGAATTTTCTCCCAGTCAAGGTGACCACAGTCCCCTCAGTGCATTGTTTCAATAAGGTGCTTGACAAATACCTACTCGTATACGGATTATCGTATCTCTCTTGTTCCAGGTGTGCCTGATGCCCGTCTTGAGACTTGTTAGATGTTATCGTTATCGTTTTACCAAATCCATAACTTAATTTTCTTCGCTCATAATCACTGTTTCCTCTACCTCGTTAAGCCTACATCATATCGCGCCATATCCACTAGCAATTAATTAAAAACCTTACCCATTTAGTTCTAATATCTTCTTACTGATAGCATGAGAATTTTCTCGCCGTGATTCAACTAACTGATTTCCAGCATGTTATTGTGATTGCTGCTGATATCTAGAAGCTCTACTTTCCTGAAACAAACGAACTTATTCAAATCATGGGACATCCAAATTCACGAACAAATGCCAACTGACTAGGATAAATGCAGTAGAGAGTCCAGAATACCATCCATTGAACACCAAAAAAGATACCTGGAACGGCACCGAGAGGACAAGAATCGAGCACAAGTAAATCAGTCGGTTTATAATCGCTAGTGAAAAAGGTTCTTGGAATTTTCTGTATTGAAAATCAGATTTTTGTGACGAGTAAACTTAGTCTTATTACTATGCAAATTCCGTTTACAATGTCTGTCTATTCAGTAAAGGATGCGAACTAAATAATTTAGTATTTCGAAATCTGCAAGTCCAATTCAGCGCCCAAACTTTGACTTCATTCAAAAAATACAGTTTTAACAGTTCGTGATTGCTAGGATTATTTCTATTTTAGGTAATTTTTCATTTGGAAATGAGCTCAGGAACTATATGATTTACTGAACTATGTATCGCGAGGTATTAAAAAAACTAGCTTCCAGGCTTTTCGGTGACTTGACCTTGAGCACACTTCCTCCTTGTCGTTGAATGTCTGGAAGAAGCATGCAAGTTTTTGGTCATCTGCGGTCTGTTTGTGAGTTGTTTAAATTCTGGATATCAAAAGTCATTTTTTGGTTATCATACTATAGTGTGTATTTCTGTAGGAGTATTTTCGCAATACCACAACTCTAAGTAAAACTTAAGGAGTTAGTTTGCCAAATAAAATAAACATTAATTGTTTCAATATAAAGGACAAGAATGCATCAATTAATAGAACTAAAATAACGAGCATCCTTTAGAAAAGTATGTGAGACTTCAGTGGTAGAGAGATTCCATTCATTAACATTTTGAGTTAGACTAGTCATTCTGTTCATTTACTTATCTCCACTTCACACTTCTTGTATCTAAGCCAAATAAGTAAGCTCGACTTTGTTTGGCCGAGGAGTGGATAGCTGCCAAATGAACAACCAGATTTTATATTCTCTGATCATTAAAACTTGCTGATGAGTTAATGGTTAATGTCAGAAGGGACCTAGACTCATTTCTTCGGTAATTTAATTTTCATCATAATCAGGTAATTTAAAATGGCAGTTTTGTTTGGCCTGTCTTTCTCTGTAATTTAGGTGGATTTTATCGCGTCTTCAACACAGATAAAGCCCGTTCTTTATGTATTCTTTTATCAAATTATCCAAGGTGTCTCGTCAGTATTCCGTGGATTGATTTCCATTCTTCAAAGATAGGTATTCTTGCTATAAACTTCCACCACGATACCTAGACTTGTGAATTGTTTGTATTTCATCAGCAATATCTGTGAGACATTGCCTGCGTGTTACATAACTATAACTTGAACAATCCTAATATCAGTTCTGAAGTTATATGTAGTTTCCAGTGGTATAAACGCAGTCATCACAGGCCGCCTTTCCATAACACAAAAAGTTCTTCTGGTTAAAAATACTTATGCTAAACACGTTTTCCAAGGTACTAAAACGGTTTCTCTTGGTCAGTTACACAGTCTTGCTAGTATTTATGCGATGGCCTCGTCTTTTTCGGACTACCTTAGGATAGATATGTCGATGCCATAGATTAGGTTAAAAGCTTTCTTTTTTGGTTCGGCATCCTAACTTCTGTTAGTTTGGACCATATCGAGATCGTCACATGTATCTGATAAGACCTTCGACGTATCGCTTGTATAAACTAAACTGCAGTAACGTTGAGGTAGCTAAAGCATAAGAAACCGGACAAAAAATCGAAAACCCGTTGATGAGGCCGTAAACATATTTCAAGTTGATTAGGATTTTACTCATAAGACGTTAAGTGAGACTGGAAAAAAACAATCACATTGTTACTTCAAATCCTAAACTAAGTGTCTCCTTATACTGTTTTTCATGTTTAGCTTTCGACTGGTTTAGATATGATTTTTATTATATACTTTCAATCGCTACTTTGATGTGGTATGTATCGACATCGGTAAACATTTAGGCCAGGTACTACATTGGTACAACTGTAGACACTGAAATCCAAATATAATCCTGGTTATATTATGATCTCCGTTTTTTGAGGCGATCTAGTCATTCTGGGCGGTAGTAATTGGCAGTTTGATACTGATCGTTATTGACTAAATATTGTTTTTCCTAAAACCTAAAGTTTGTACTTGCTGAAAAGGAACGTTATTAGAGGAAGTATTCAGAGTAACAATTATTTATCCGCATAGTCAAATTTCAAAATTTGTGTCTAACTGCCATGCCCTGCTCCAATTTCTCTACTTCGGATATAGAGTCGCCCACTCCGTCGACCAAATCCGAAAGTCAGATTTTGAGTAGCAGATAGTCTATAGTGCTCATCTTCAGCTTTATTAGAGATGCACCCGGCAATCGTCAAAGTTACGTTTATAGTCCGGATTCCGGCTTCTAACCTCAATAGTAAAAATAATTTACAACTCTGGAAATTCAAGTTTTTTGGCTTTTATCGTATCCAAATCTAGTATACACTGTGTGAAATATAACCACTGTTCACACTAAAGTGCACACTACAAGGTTTTGGATTAGCGTTATTTTTTCTCATAATACTGTCTGTACGTATAATATAACTGTAAGAAATAACTACTTGTTCTTAGAACTCGTTATAGTGATGAGATTTTGTATGACTGGATCTAGGAGAGGTTCTTATCAGGAGGTTAGGTTCATAAGAATGCTGTTTGTTACTATCTTCCTGATCGCATTACCCTCTGCATAAAAACGAAATGTTTTATTTAATTAGTAAAGCAATTATTGATACAAAGATGCACCTAGATATATATGTGCCGCGAAAATCATTGGATTTGTGTAGGCTAAGATACTACTCGGGTGCCTAAATGGAAGTAAGTGACTTTATTAAGGAGTTACTCCAAGCCTTTTGTCCAAAAGGCCTAGCCCATAAGGCAGTGGGGCAACGTCAGGAGTTGCAGTCTTATAGTAGCAGGTGACCAAGAATAGGTTCATACTCCATTCGTTCCAGCAAGATATCCATGTGCACTACTGGATTTTAATCAGGGTTTTCCAACTCCCCTATGTGGATCCTCCACACTTAACAATCCGGTTAAAGAGCCAGCCACTCGCTTTCCGTCCTCTCAATTACGTGAACAACGTCTCCGCGACGGAAATGCTGTGAGTAGGACTTCCCAAGCAGTGGCTATGTGAGAGCATTTCGACAGAGAAGACGTAACCCACTCTGCCGTATCAGGGTATTTGTGGGTCACTGGAGTTATCAGTAGGTCCGTGTACTAGATTTTCCATTCAGCTTTGGCAGATGAACATGTATTCTTTCCCTGCACAGATGTGCAGCGATCCCATCACTTGTTAGATAAGGACTCCAGTTTTGTTTTTTTTCAAAAGAAATAGCAAACCAAGACATAGCGTTATAAAAACTAACCCAAATTTGCATAATAGTATGGTCGAAAAATTGAGCAATGTGAGACTTCACTCCAGTGGCTTCAGGTTCCATCTTTGCATAAATTTATACATACAGGTTGGATTATCTTTATTTTGGTTTGTAATTTTTAGGGACTTCACCGTTCACCAAGGTTGCAAATTCACTGATATGCCCACTACAGGTAATTGAATTTTTTATCTTTAAGACTTTAGAATATCCGTTTTTACGCTGTACCTGGGGTCAAAACTGCCTATGTTCGCGACAAGCCTCATATGAACATTGGTACCATAGGACATGTTGATCACGGAAAGACTACCCTCACTGCTGCCATTACAAAAGGTAAGAAAACCCAAACTCGTGGATTTCTTAGTACTTGCTGAAAAGAATAGCTCAGTCTATCGGACTTATGAGGAGATTGATGCTGCACCAGAAGAACGACGACGTGGCATAACAATTAATGCAGCAGTGGTTGACTACTCGACGTCTAACCGACATTATGCACACACAGATTGTCCTGGTCATGCTGACTACATAAAAAACATGATAACCGGTGCTAATCAGATGGAGTGCGCCATTCTTGTCGTAGCAGCCACTGATGGCACTATGCCACAGACTAGGGAGCATTTATTATTGGCTAAGCAAATAGGAATAGAAAGATTAGTCGTTTTTATCAATAAAGCTGACGCAGCAGACCCAGAGATGCTAGAATTAGTTGAAATGGAAGTCAGAGATACATTAAAACAATATGGATTTGATGGAGATAATATACCGATTGTCAGTGGTTCTGCCCTTTATGCACTAGAAGTAAGTTTTAAATTTGATGACTTAATTGTATAGAATCGTGATCCTAAACTTGGCAGTGAGAAAATTGAAAAATTACTTGATGTGATTGATTCAGTTCCTTTGCCAGAGCGCGAAAAAGACAAACCTTTCCTACTTCCTGTCGAACACGTGTTTTCCATTACTGGTCGAGGTACTGTTGTTACAGGTCGGATAGAACGTGGAATCCTCAAGATCCAGTCACCAATAGAAATAATTGGATATAGTCAAGCTCTAAAATCCACAGTTACTGGTAAGTCATAGCTAACCTTTCTGTGCTATCTACCTACATCACTTTGATTTTTAAGCTGATCGCTAAATTGTAAAAAGTAGTGTAGTTTAAATAAAAATCAATAAAAGAATAACCTGTATGCTGAGTTTTTATGGTCTAATATTAAAAGGGAAGGAATTACGGTTCATTAAATGTACATTTCGGTGACTCTTATGAACTGTGATTTGATAAATGACCGATAGAATGAAGGCTGTTAGAATAAATGAACAGAATTCAAGTGATACGATGTGACTAATTACTAGCTCACAATACCAACGTGCAGTTTCAAGTCTATTGGATAAACTGATATCAACGAAACGACGTAGCGACTAATGAAATAGGGTTTTTTTCTGTAGCAAATTATCACGCTCCTACAGTAAATATTAGATTTAAAATTAAATATTACTCAAGACCATAAGCTTAATTCTCATTTAAAATAAAAATACATCACTATACTCAAATGGCTACAAACCGACTTCTATTCAAAGGCTACCTGTCTGTTTAAATCTCAGTAGCTACGAAGTGGTTCAGACTAAATGAATATCAATTCTTTCATATATTCTGAGTTGTTACAGAATTCTGTTTTCACACCCGCGAAAACTCAGGAGTCAGTGTTGTAAACTTAAGAATTTACTGACTGATGTAAACCTCTGCAGGAAAATGTGATGTGAACTTATGGACGTCGTACATATTGACTATTAATTTATAAATACCAAAAGTTTATGTTGTCTTTACCATATTCTTATTCGTATATAACTAACAGATTCAAGAATACAGTGCATTTATAATTTTAATAAACGAAATCAAACCTCACATCTTAGAACATTTAAATATTCCAAAACGTTTGAGATTCTGCTGAGCTCAGGTCAGCAGTTTTTAATCCAGAGTAAGGATTTAGTTTTTTCGGAAACTCAAAATTTTTCAAATCGTTAGTCATAAATTTGACAACCAACCATCAGTTTGATTGATCATTCCACCCAGGGTTGTCAGTAGATAAATTAAACAATATTGTTGTAAACCATTGCAGAATTCAATGGTTGCAGCTATCTAACAAGAAAGTCTACGTGACTCAAAGATCTAACTTTTTCCTCACATGGCCAAAGCTTTGACTTTCCAGGCCAGCAAAAATGTCCCATTTCTAAACATTTCAAATCAAGAAGTTATATTCACTTTCTCTCTTTCGGTCTTGTATTTTTAAATTATTTCACGCCTTTTATCCAGCGAATTTATTGTTCTGGAATCATATTATTTATATTCAACTGTTATTACGACTACTATTTTGCAATTCCCGGCTAATATTGTGTGACGATTTCAACCAATCCACACATGAACATGCATCTAAGTCACCAATACCAACCAAAAACAATTAAAAGAGAGAACACCACTTAATGACAAAAAATTGTCCGAATATGCATTTTAAATAAAATAACCATTTCAAGGGCATATCTTGCCTTTTTTGAAGAAAATAAGTAAAACACCCTGTAACTTTGGTGACCCACGACAACACAACTGAAATCTTCTCGTCATCTCCTAAGAAAGAATTTCAAGGTATTACCATAAATATTTAGAAAAGTTAGTGTTTGGTTTTTAATATCACAATATATGCTCAATATATCTAGGTGCACTTTTTCTCGCTTAAGCATATTGAATGTGCAGATATAAATTGTATATGGCTCTAAGTACTAACTTTATAAGCAGAGGGGGATAGTGGCTTTCAGTAGAATCCAGGACGCGCAAATCATTCTATTCGGGACTCGTCAACCGGATGTACCTGCATCTCAGAGTTAATATTCACCCTGAGACTCGAACGCAATGAAAAGATTCAGACAACCGATAAAAATGAGTCAAATTCTACGTGGAATCTGAATTAATGAAAGCGTGATTACTAAAGCTAATTGTCACTAAAATGATAATCTTTGCACGAATTATTGGCTTTGATATCCATCTTAAAACAATTATAACCATTTTCAAAATTAATAATATTGTTGGGCGAACATTGGAAGTGTCAAAAATCGTTTATTTTGAATGTCGTTGTTTTAATATTACTCTATATTCCATGTAATGTTTGTTGACTGAAATGTTTGATTTATACAAATATTTCCAGAGTTGTAATTTACCATGTAGTGAAAACTATCAATTTCGTTGCATAAACTTACCACCACTTGTCATTTTCCACTATGCGGGCGCATTTATTCGTTTATTCAATGTACATAATTTTTGTCACACCTAACTACTAAATAGTGGGCTTCAAGCAGTTGTATGTTTATTTGAAACATGATATCTACTCAAATCTCGAGCAAATCTTGCACTTGTAACAAGATATGTTTTGTAAACGAATGTTTAGTCTCTTATTTTTTCTATGTAAAATGAAATACTGCTTTTGCCAATCGTTTTACGGCGTTAATATTTCAACGATCGGAAGAGGTTTATTGCTATCATGACACCAAATTGTCCCTTATTACGTTTTCTTCCTGAGTAATGCTTTAATTATAATCTTCGATAAAATTTAAATTGTGGTAATATTTATATCATATTAAGTAAATTTTCCTCAAACTAATTTATCTCAGGAATTGAAATGTTTCATCAACTTTTGGATCAAGCTGAAGCAGGTGACCAGGTGGGCATCTTGTTGAGAGGAGTGAAAAAGGATGAAGTAAGACGTGGTCAGTTTGTTGTAGAACCAAAGTCCATGTCAATGCATGACTATGTCCAGTCTCAGGTTAGTTCTTTCGGTGTTAGTAATGTATAACATTTTGATTGTGAGTAAATGTTTAGATATTGAGTTTATTTTGATAACAGGAGTTGATCAAGCCCATAATCCTAGCATTTAAAATACCATCATTATTTTACAGTGATAATACACGTGGGTTTGGTTAAAAATATTGAGTTATGACTTAACAGTGTAGGCGCTCAACGTTGAATTGTTGCCTGATAGGTTTACACCTTATTGTACCTTTGGCTCGAACATTAAGATATTTCCATCCTTCAGAAGGTAGTAAGTGTAGGTTTTTGTTGAGTACGGTAGCGCGAAGTAATATTCATGATCCACATTTAAATTTAGTGAATTATGTACTCATTTTAATTAAATTTAGTTTGTTCACGACTATACAAACTATACGTTCTTTAGATGAAATTCAAGACTCTTTTCAAATTATAAATTGTATTCAATATATGTTATTGAATGCGTAAATTGATAAAACCTATTTCGAAGTAATATTTGACTAGTGATGCTTAATTCAATGTTCATCATCTTTTTTGACATACATGGATGGAAAAACAGTTTCTCTTTGTAGTTGGTTTTATAACCTCTTTTAAATGACGCTTCATTAGCTAGTATACATAATTATTGATGTACTTTTCTTTCTTTAAAACCGTAATAAATATCTCTCTTTCTTTATTTACCTTCAAAAAATTGTTGAACTTTTTGATAGAGATTGTTCAAAAAGCGGTTCTAGGATTTTTGCACAAAATATGTTGCGTTATGTAAACGAAATTGTCTTCATTCTTTCAAACAAAATTCTCAGATTGAATAAATTGGGACTTCTTTATCCGTCTCTACACCATTGCGCTCGTTTAAGCATTTATCATGAAGAAGTTGGCAGATCCATTGTTATATTCTGCTTTGAAATTAATGAAATTCTAAGAGCATCAAGCTTTTTTTTACATAAAAGGAAAGTCACCCATTTATTGTGGATACGATTTCACTGTATTGATAAAGATCCTTCAGTTTACGACTCAGAGAACAGACAGTAGCGACCGTCAGATAACCGCCTATTCCTAGCAAACACTAACTTGAAACATAAGGAAAAGGCACCATTTGACCTGGCGACCCCCAAAGTCGTCACAATGCTAGACCCAACTAGATCACATTGCCACCAGCCACCGATGGAGAGGTTCTGGAGCACATGTTTAGATTCAGATCATGCCCTATTGCGAGCGCGTATTTGTTTGGGTCTTACTGGACGTAGGAAAGGCACCGCCAGGAAACCTCTTAGGGTTCTACTTAATGATAATGAAGCTAAGAATATATTTCAGGAACAACTAGAAAGACCATGTAAGCGATTCCGATCCGGAGGCAGGTTGGAATGATATCAAAAAGGCTGTGGAAACAGCAGTGATATATGCTAGTAAGATAATCCATAAAGCTAGAACAAAGCCGTGGATCTCAGTAGCATCCACCGATCTGACGGATGCTCGAAAACTCATCCCACTTGGCTCTGAACATGATGAAGGACGAAGTCAGCTTGAGTGCAGGCTGATAAAAAGCCTGCGCAACGACCGTGAACAGTGGTGGGCGGCGAAAGCGAAAGTGATGGAAAAGGCAGCGGCGATCGGCAATAGTAGACAACTTTTCCGACTTATCAAGAAAACTGGTATTAGGAATCCTAGTGTAAGTGAGACTATCTCGGAAAAGGATGGTCTTATTATCCATTCTCAATCCAGGAGACTGGATCGATGGGCAGAACACTTTACGGATCAGTTCAACTGGCCTTCAGCCACACTTCGGTTACCCACGATCTCCAGTCATCCTGAATGGCAAATCGACGTAAGTCCCCATAGTCTTAATGACGTTGAGAAAGCTTTAGGAAATCTGAAACGAGGACGAGCTGCAGGTCCTGATAGACTGACCTCTGAGACATTTAAGTATGGTGGTCCAGCTTTAGCAGCTAGGTTGACTGACATCTTAGGTAGAATTTGGGAACTAGACACTATCCCATCCGACTGGTCTCAGTCCCTGATTGTCCCAATTTATAAGAAAGGACAAAAGTCATCTTGTGACAATCACAGGGGAGTCAGTCTAACTAATATAGTTTCTAAATTGTTAGCCTCGATTATACTTGGACGCCTTACTAGTGCTCGTGAAGAGTAGACTAGAGAAAACCAGTCTGGTTTCAGACCTGGACGTGGCTGTATAGACCACATCTTCACACTACGACAGGTCCTGGAACACAGACACACATTTAGGCGTCCGACGATAGTTGTGTTCCTGGACCTTAACACGGCATTCGACTAAGTGGACCGTGAGGTTCTGTTGCAGTGTCTGTCATTGAAAGATGTACCAAAGAAGTGCATTAACCTTATACAAGCTCTCTATTCTAAAACTACTGGTCGGGTGAGAGCTTATGGCGAACTGTCACCAGAATTCTTCACTTCAAGTGGTGCCCGTCATGGATGTCCACTTTCTCCATTCTTGTTCAATTTTGTCGTAGAAATGCTCGTCTTAATTTTCAGGAGTAGACCTTCTACCAGGAGGCTCGCTTATTGACTTAGAATATGCCAATGACATAGTTCTATTCGGTGAAGATGCTGATAAAATGCAGAGTCTTCTGACTACCCTAAGCAACAATGTAAGCATGTTCGGGATGCGGTTTTCCCTCTCGAAGTGCAAAATGTTGTTTCAAAACTTGGTCGCATCGGCACCTGAACTAGTGATAGGGAGTGAAGTAGTTGAACGTGTAGACCGCTTCACTTATTTTGGGAGTCTCATCAGTGCTGGTGGCCTGGTGACTGACGAAATCTCAGCTCGGATACAGAAGGCTCGATTGGCTTTTGCCAACCTGTGTCACTTATGGCTTAAGCGAGATATCCGTCTGCTGACTAAGCGACGAGTGTACTGTGCAGTAGTTTGCTCCGTCCTACTATATGTCTGTGAGACATGGCCAGTAGGAGTAGAAGATATTTGTAGGTTACTGGTTTTCGATCATAGGTGTCTTCGAAGCATTGCTCGTATATCGTGGGACACCCGAGTGAGCAACGCTGTTATTCGGAAACGGGCGCTAGGTAAGGATGGCAGTTCAATAGATGAAGTAGTGAAACTTCATCAGTTGAGGTGGTTGGGATATGTGTTACGAATCCCTAACTACCGACTGCCTCGTTGAGCTATATTTTGTGGTGTAGGAATCGGTTGGACGAAAGCTAGGGGCGGCCAGACCAAAACATGGCCGCAATCCATGAAGTCATTGACAAGTGGACTGAGTCATGTCGGTATGTGTCAACTACCTGGTTGGTGTCCGCGAGATTACAATAATCGATGGTTAGAGACCCTGGGTGACATGGCTCAAAATCGTCTGCAATGCCGCAGGTGCATTCACTCGTTGTGTTCACTCAGATCCTAAACTGTTTAATTCTTCGTCACTTGATCAGTTTAAGTCTATTTCACTAGATTCTTCTTGTTGAATAATATCTTCTAATCCTAACCTCTCTGACAACTGCTAATACCTTTACTAACTCTAATAATATGGGATTTGAATTGACAATTACATCTCTGTGCTGATGTGGTATGGCAACATGAACTGATGTACGTACATACGAAGTTTTACGTTGCTATTGATTGATTGATTGAATTTGTATATTCACTTAAGGATTTCTTACAGCCGATGCCAATATATATATCCTAATTAGTGTGAAACCTAATGTTTACTGGGCAACTTAACCAACGCCTAAATGAACATCTCCCGGCAGAGTTTAGAACAGGCTAGATATAAACAATACTCAGTTCTCTCTTGGCTCACTTGATTAATAGCGGTCATAATATCGGCAAAACTGAATTATTTTGAGTTATCTATCGTGTACCTCCATCATTTCCCAACGGAGTTCAATCCCGTTTCCTACATATAGCAAAGGCTATAGAATTCCGAACATTCAACCCCGATGTATCTGTTCGGAAGAAATTCGTGGCACCCCAATCTATTCCGTGGCCGGATATAATTTAATCAACCTTTTAAAAAAGTTTTTTTATTTTATTTTGTTATTATTTGTATTATTTTTTTTATCCTGTATTTGTTTGTAATTTTCTGTCAATCTCCATTTATATTTACAATCTAATTATTTACGCACTTCTTGTATTGAATATTACTATTATCAGTACATCTGTCTTCCTACTATCAACTTGTACTTTACCTATTAAGTATTTTATTGTGATTATTGAATCAAACTGCCTTGATTGGTTTAACATTTGCTTATACATATTCGTGTATATTAGAGTGAAGCTTGATGACGATCTAATTGAAAACAATATTGCTCGCTTACATGTGTTAAGAAGAATGTCACCATTTCCATTATTTATCGGTATGGTTCAGAAATAAAGGATTATGAGGACTAATGGAGCATTCTTTCTAAAATGGAATTTTACGTTAGTCTAGCCGTACACACATGTAAAGCTAAACCACCCTATCCATTTTTCAGTTATAATTTAGTAAGTATGAAGCGCATATAATGATAGAAAGGGTCTGTTGTGGAGAGGAGTCCAGTTTTTTTGAATGAGTAAGATGAATAGACTAAATGGTATAAGGGATTTGTCAAAGACACAATTTACCGGCAAAATGTTTGCACCTTATCTTTGAACGTCTATTAGCAAAGCAGGTGGATTATCGTCTGTCTGGTTGCACTTTTCATCCGGATCCGACACTTCTACTCAGCAGTAACTACATAGCGGCATCCCGCTGCATATCCAATGCATACACCATACGACGATAATTTACGTCGGTTGTGCGAAAACACTAGTTAACTACTTGGTTCTGGGTAAACGGATCAGAGTTCGAAGAAATAATTTAGTAAGAATTCGGATCCCGAAATCAATCATAGCTTCACATAAAGTGCAGCTGTTTAAGTTCTCAATTTTACAAGTTTCAACCAATTATTCTCCATTTATTGTCAGAATCAGAAGGTACTTCATATTATCTTTCCTTCAATTATATTAATACTTTACAACTGAATTTTTCACTATTATCAATAAATTTTATTTTTATTTTTACAGGTATATATGCTTTCAAAGAAAGAAGGTGGCCGTACTAAACCATACACAAGCAATCATCAATTCCATGTATTCAGCAAATCATGGGATTGCCCTGCCGCCCTAGTGCTCCCTGAAGGTAGGGAAATGGTTATGCCAGGGGAAGATGCAGCTGTGAACCTACACTTCTATAAGAAAATGGTTGGTTTTATTATATATCTGTTATCGAACTACTTTGTTCAAGTAAATTCTTTGATACCTGCTTGCGCGATATGAATAGTTTAATTTGCACATTGGTATTAGTAATATTGTAAATTCAAAGGGTGATTCTAACATAATTTGGGTGTTATACCTTAAATTTCATAAACACCTTAAATATGTTTACGTTAATCTCTACTAATGAGGAACAATTGATAGCAGAAGATTCAAAAATTCAGGGGTTTTACTAGATAACGTTAGCTACAACCTTCATTAGCTACCTATGCCGTGTATCTTGATTTTTTCACCTTATCATAAATTTAAATTTTTATCATTTTAGGCTCTTGAAGTTGGTCAGCGTTTTACCATTCGTTCTAGTGGCACTACTATTGGTTATGGTGTAGTGGGCAAAGTCCTTCCTGGTCCCGGTCCATTCAGCTGGTCTAAATAGTATCCAATTATATTTGTAATGATTTCCAAATTCTATGCTTCATGTGTTACTGAATAAATTCTTAGTAAGAATATAATGTCTTACTATTTCCTTATGTTAATTTACTCGGTATAAACATCTTCAGTAGCCACTCACTTATTAGTGCACAAAAGTGCTTTCAATTATTTTATACTCATTAGTCACCACTAAACATTTAAAATTTAATCTTATAGTTCTAAAGAGTAAATTTCATGATATATTTTGTCAATTACTTACCAACATTGCCGCGTTAAAAAGGATGAGTAACACTGATTTCTAACATTTTAGAATTTTGTTTGCTTGGTTTTCTAAGTGTCATACGAGAAGTGCTCTATATATATTCAGGATGTACAGGGCTTTTACGTCATCAGATTCCTGAATTTTTCTTACGATGTTACGCACGCACGTAAACACGTCATTTTGAACTATTACGAGTTTACCTTAGTTTGAAACGAGAGCTAGGATCCGGCGACACGACATGCTACTCTAATCGGAATGTCCCAACCCCATTAAATAAGAGAAAAAGGTTCTACTTCATTTAGGACCTGTATTCTACAAGCATTCAGAAAGTACGAGGTCGGAGTCCAGAAGAGAATCAGGATCCCAGACTAGGGATCCGAGTTCTAACACGTTACAGATAATCCGTATTTATACATTTGGGTTGAATAGGAAACAGCATCGAAGTCTGTGACATTGACAGTTAAGACGACCAATAGGAAACAACATTGGAGTACGTGACATTGATATTTAGGATCACCATAAAATTGACCCGTAGTAATTGACCAATAATTCTCTTAGGATGTTGGATGAATATCCTAACATACGAGCATTAACGATGCTGATTAATTCGGGTCTTCAGTCATTATGTATTGGTTCCATAAACAAAGCTTACATCAACTATGAGATGAATCAGAAAGTTAACATCAAATAACCAGATAAATCTAAATGAAACAGAAATTTATAGGTTGATACCCGTAATATGAAATATTTTAATCGCCGATACGTACAAAATTTATTTCAGACATTTAAACAAACATAGTCAGTCATTTCAAATGTAGAACTTCATACGTTAGTACATCAGTTCAGGTTGCCATTCCACATTAGCAAAGAGACGCAATTATCAGTTCAAATCCCATGGTGGTAGAGATAGTAGAAGTATTAGCGATAATGAGGTCGACGATTTTATTCAAGAAGTAGAATCTAGTGAAACTTAAAAAGAAAAAGATTATGAGGGATACAGTAGGTTAGGGTTTGAGAGAACACAAAAAATGGATGCATCTGCGCCATTGCAAATGATTTCGAGCCATGTCATTCAAGGTCTCCAATCATCGGTAACTTTCGTCTTGCGGACCTCAACCAAGTAGCCTGCATCTACCAATATGACTCAGTCCACTTGTCAGTGACTTCATGGATTCCTGCCATGTTTTGGTTTGACCGCTCCTAGTTTCCTTCCAGCCGATACCTAGACGACAATACATCGCTCGTCGAGGAAGTCGGTGGTTGGGCATATGCAACAAATGTCCCAACCACTTCAATTGATGGAGTTTCACTACTTAATCTTCCATCCTTTCCTTTTACTCGACTCCTAACGACAGCATTGCTTACTCGGTTGTCCCATGATACACGAACAATGCTTCGGAGACACCTATGATCGAAAACCAGTAACCTACGAATATTTACTGACTGACCATGTCTCAGCCATAAAGTCGGACGGACTCGTCCTTTCACTCCGAAAATCATCCTCCGTCGACTGTGAAATATCTTCGACATTACAATTATTATAACATCGGTGATAATGTAGAAGATATTTAACAGTCGATTGAGGGTGATAGTGTGAATTGAAATAAGGTCTCGTAATATTTAGTTATTAGGATTACAACGAAACAGTCAAATTCATTAGAATGTAGAAATGAAAGAGAATAGGAAAATTCATTCACCTCTTCAACGATCGACTGTCCTTTCTATTTTAATCATGTACATATACAAATCTATGTTAGTGGTTCACATTTCTTAATGATTATAGAATATTATATTACAACGTTTTGGACTGGTAATTTGAAGAAGCTTGTTTCTTGACCGTAGCTGCTACCTTGGTGTGGTGATCAGGCTTGCCTAACAAGCTATATTGGCTGGAACATATGTTCCTGTAGATCCTACCATGCCAGGCAGGTGGATTGGAGAACGATGAGACTTAAAGCAGCTACTCAAGGTCTGAGGGCGAAGATGTGATGGTGATTGTACAAGGGTGTGACAGTAGTAATGCGTTCCTTTCAGACAACCGGCGTCTGTAGTGATGCTACCTTCCCACAAGGAAGGGAGGAATTAGGAACGGTCGACCGTCACAATGCCACATCTCTTGAATTTGCTTCTTCAGGGGTAAGGCCGTTTAAAAGGCGCGAAGCTAGCAAATCTGCGTGTGGGCAGCCGGACAGTGTTAACTGCCCTCATATCCGTAAATAGAACGAGACAGAACCAGCCACAATCCTTCCCATACAACCTAATAACTCTCACATTTCCACAACCAACCCTGCTTCCGCTCCTTCATCACCTCGCGCCGATGATGCAAACCTTTCGAGTTCACGGAACGTAACGTCACCATGTCTCCTGAAACCCCACTCGAAACTACATATTGGGGCTTCCAATGTTCGGACCTTGCGCCAAATAGGTCAACAGACCCCGAAACGTGTTAACAGGATCCCAATTAAATCATCAACTTGAATTCACCTTGTCCAGATAGAGAAGCAATTCGGCTTACGCTCGATGTATCTGGGAGCTTTGTTGTTGCTCCCCGTGGCCTCGCAGGTGTAGGTACAGTGTTGGGTAGCGAGATCGATCGAAAATGCAGTGAGTATAGACAGCTGTCTCGACTTATCAAGGGCACTGGCACTAAGAACCCATCATATTTTAACGAAACTACCTCAGGAAAGGATGGTCGTATCATTCATTCTCAACCCAGGAGATTTGATCGATAGCTAAGACATTGAGTCATATTGGTAGATGAAGGCTACTTGGTTGAGGTCCGCAAGACGAAAGTTACCGATGATTGGAGACCTTGAATGACATGGCTCGAAATCATTCGCAATGGCGCAGATGCATCCATTTTTTGTGTTCTCTCAAACCCTAACCTACTGTATCCCTCATAATCTTTTTCTTTTTAAGTTTCACTAGATTCTACTTCTTGAATAATATCGTCGACCTCATTATCGCTAATACTTCTACTATCTCTACCACCATGGGATTTGAACTGATAATTGCGTCTCTTTGCTAATGTGGAATGGCAACCTGAATTGATGTACTTACGTATGATGTGGTGCGCGCTACTTATAAGTAGTATATGACGCGTGTGTAAACGTAATGTCTGGCAGCAGAAGATGGAGGAAGATCAAGAAAGGAAGAGTGGGAACACATTGGAATTTGTATGAAACGCATGAATAGTGAAATTTCAGACAATGGATTGAAGATTTGCAAATTAACGGTTACGATATGGTTTTCTTATTTTACTGAGTAACTCTGTAATTTTCGTTAATTACAGTTCGGTTGCCCTTCGGTTCTCCTTCACTACACTACCTTGTAACTGGCTAACCACTGATGTTAAAAATAAACAAGAAAGTACATTTTCAGATATAGTACTCATGATAAAAACTGTTAAATATCTATTATAAAAAGAACATTAAAACATACTTGGATACGTTATCCAATAAAGTCTAAAGTACCGACTTTGAAACAATTGTTATTCATTGTGCCTAAATGGTCTGGCAGGACAAAATGGGAGACCTATTCTCTGTCGAAATTCTCTAACATAGCCACTGTTTGGGAAGTCCTACCCACTGCATTCCCATCGCGGGGACATTGTTTACTAAATGGAGAAAACGGAAAGCGATTGTCCGGCTCTTAGATGAGATCGGTATGGAGGATCCACATTGGGGAGTCGGAAAACCCCGTACACCATTGAAACTAGTCTCCTTCAACGTTCTCATACTTATGCAGATAAGATAACAGATGGTGTTGGTTGTCTTTAGGATGTCATAGCATCGATATCTGTTGTTTTTCTGAGATCCGTATTAATAACTGCAGTGACATACTACGTATTCGCTATCCATCTGCTGCTTTTGAAATGTTGTTTCGTCTACTTTTATCCAGAGCCTCTGTCGAATCTTTGTTTGGTTTTGCTGGTGTTGATGGTCGCACTAAGCGCTAGAGTGGAGGCAGTGCTAATCGTTCGGAGCTACATGAACGGTCAATTATGTTCTCTTAGATTTGAAAGCTTCATTAGGGTGAAAAGAAACCGTATGATAGCCAGTGTCTCACTAGTTTCGTGACGGTCAGTATCCAACGTTTTCTTAAACTTCGTAATTTGGTCGTCCAGACAACTAAATAGTACCTCATGGTCTAGAAATGAGAAGACGAATACGAAGTGTTGAATACGTTTATTTGGCATACCAAAATTAGACCACCAAATCACAGGCACACGAAGTGAAAGGCAAGCAAGCTAGCGAATTGGCGAATGAATTAACAAGATTAACATGTACATATATATACATAGGAAAACGGCTGAGTCATCGAAATATTTAGGAGGTTAATATTGAGGCGAATGGGGTGAATATGCGCGTACGCTGTAAAGATTGTTTAGTCGTACAAACTAGATAATAATAGGAGGCAATCATACATAAAGTTATTGCTATAAAAATGGCTTGGTTAAATAAGTCAATCAAATGTCTTGACTAAATTATATATGAGCGAACTCAAATGTTTGTTGAGGCACTAAAACAGCACCTCTTCATTATTTCCGCTTACGCCACCATTCATCTTCAGTCCTACTATTGTTGACGTTTCGGAAACAGCTCTGATGGATGTAGGCAGTGGTGGTGTGGATTATTTACATGGAGTAAAACTTCTTATTTCAATATATAGATATTTTCTTATTGTGCCATAGTTTCCAAGCCATGCAATCCACATTTATTCATTTGGCAATCAGTGTCCACTGGTATGGCATCTGTTTTGCACCTTTCATGTACAAAGTACTATTGAAAGACTAGCAGTATCCTGAACTTACATTCACTCCTGATAGTGAGCGGATAGAATTAGTCGAAAAGTTCATGTACCAGCGTAGCTGTGCAAGTGCTGATGGTGAAGTGTGATGAGATCAATTTACGTATAGCGAAGGCCAGAATAGCTTGTGCGAATGTCGACCATATTTAGCGCCTCGTAATGCTAGTTTGGATGTAAAAGACCAGGTCACCAGTACAAGCAGTTTTGTTCTATGTTTGTGAAACCTGGTCTCAGCGAGTAAAAGATCTTAGAAAACTTTCTGTGTTCGATCGCCGTTCTCTCCTTATGATGCTGAATTTCAGTGGT